CAGATCATGAAGCTTTAAAGTTTACTTATCATGCTGAGAAATCCTGAGAATGCAGATAAGTGTCGTACAGCAAACAATGGTGGAAAATATCATAGGTTAAAAAAATCGAACATCGGAGTGAACTCAATGGCCAGTATCGTCTGAGGCCTAGCAGAGTATTCATGCAGACTATCGTGGTCTATTTCTTGACAAATACTATGCAATTGTAGTCATTGATTCTTTTTCAAAGTGGCTTGAAGTTTTCTTCACAACTACACATAATTCTGACTTCACAATCCAAGCATTAAGGAACGTTTTTGGTCTGGAATGGGTTCTCATGACCTAAGTGACTAACAGTGGTTCCCATTTTGCTGCAGACACAGTCACCACTTGATTGAATGGTATGAGATGCAGACATCTGTTCACTGCTTTCAAGCACACTTGTTCTAATGGCCAGACAGAAAATTTCATCGACACATTGAAAACCGCCATTGATCCAATTTCTGCTTCAATATTTGATGAACTGTGGAGGGGAGTAGATATATTTTTACTGTGATATAGAAATGTTGAACATACTGTAACGAATGAGACTCTGTCAAAGCTATCAAAGGAAGGATTCTTCGTTCGAATATGAGGTGTTAAGAGTCCGCAAAGTTTACATATTATCGTGTATATGATCTTTGACCAACCAAGTGGATTGTGGTGGAGAATATTGGAAAATACTTTGGTGTTTATCGCTTAGTAGTGCATGTGCCTTGTTTGTGTGTCCATAACCATGATAATGGGGAACTCTGTATTATTATGTATAAATATAACATGGTGTTCACTAGCCGACGGCACCACAAATAGAAAAACATTTGTAGGGTTTGAATGAACTAATGATACCTTTGTACTTGTTGCACACTTGATTTCGAATTCTAAATACAATACATTTGTTTGTGTTTATCTAGTAATTCTTGATCCGACTACTTTATTTCTGGGATTCCTAGTTCATAATATAATTCAAATACTTCCGAATATCATACATCTACATCTTGTTGTGCAGTTAAGTGAGTAGTAATAGCTCTGCAAGTAAAGTCTAAAGCTTCTTTGAATACTCCTCATTCGTATCTCTTTGGTAGCATTCATGTTTGAGAAAGTGAATGAACAGTGTTCAAGGAAGGGTTGAATACATATGATAAAAATGACACTTCTTTATCATGAAACCAGCCAGCCGTCTGTATTTAGAAGTATAGTCAAGACATCTCTTAGTTTGAGGCTTCCTATATGATTAATACCAAGATCATATGTTGTTTCTGGAAACTACATCTATTTAAGTGATGTGACGGTTGACAGTGATGTTTCCCTACACTGATTGTCCCACACATGCTGCTGCTTAATGACAACTGTTACCATTTACTACAACCAGACTGGTTATCGAAGTAATTTAAATCTAGGACATAATTCGATGAAAGCTGTGCGTCTAAATATGTATGCTGTTTTCAGATCACCAGCAGAGAGGTAAAGCCCTCCAAATTCTATGATTTTACACATATCGTTTACATGTATAAGAAAAAATTGAAGACTTTGTGTACTTCCCTGGAAAAATCTATGACTTACTGATCTTAGCGACGGGAACAAGTTTTTGAAACTTTCTACATATTTACGTTCGGCTGGGACTGGGTGAGCCATGAAAACAGAGAGCTATTGGTTCTGAAGCACTTTAGTTTCTACAAAAAGCCTTTTGAGTAGGGTCTTTTCAGAAGCTTCCTTGAATGCAAAGACAGGAATTGACATTAGGAGCCGGTTGTCTTCTTCTTATGTCAAGTCGTTTCGACAGTGTAGCAGGCACTCATCGGATGAATTGAACGCAAAAAGCCATGCAGGGACGTTCATATGGACCCATCAGCAAGTACTTATACACCTCGTGGTGGAACATAGGTCGCACACCAGGATCCTTAATCGAACTCTGTCCTCTGCTCTCCTTTCCTGCTGTTTCCAGTTGCCATTCATTCCTTTGATGTTTTCTTCCAGTTCCCGACGAAATGTGTTCCTTGGTCTTCCTCTTTTCCGTTTCTATTCAGGACTCCAGCTTGGGGCTTGTCGCGTGATTCAGTCTGTTGACTTCTTCAATGCTTGTCGCATCCATCTCCAGCGCCTTATCCTGATTTCTTCTCCAACTGGAAGCTGGTTTGTTCTCCCTCACAATAGGTTGTTGCTGATGATATCCGATCAACGGACATCGAGTATCTCGCGTAGACAATTGTCTAGAAACAGTTGTACTTTTTGATGATGGTTGTAGTAGTTTTCCAAGTTTCAGCTCCGTACAGCAGAACTGTCTTGACATTCGTATTCAGGATTCTGACTTTGGTGTTGGTTTACAGTTGTCTTGAGTCTCCCAAATTATTCAATTAAGGGAATGATGTACTTGCTTCGCCAATCTATGCCTTTGCATCTGCATCAGATCCTTATCGCTTGTCGATGATGTTGTCCAAATACGTAAAACTTTCCATCAGTTGCAGAAATTCCCCATCAAGTGTGATTGTGTTGGTGTTCTCCGCGTTGTATTTCAGGATCTTGCTTTTCTCATTGTGTATGTTGAGGCCTGTTGCTGCAGAAGCTTCTGCTACACTGGTTGTCTTGGCATGTATTTGTTCATATGTATGGGATAGATGAACCATGTCCAAATCTTCTAGTCTCATCAAAGCTGTCCATTGTGTCATATGCTTCCCCTCAGATGGGGAGGTATTCATGATGCAGTCAACCACCAGAATAAAGTGTAAAAACGTTGGTGCTCCTGTTTGATCTCTACAGTTGCTAGTTCCAACTCACAGACATTGGGCATCTTGATTATTCTGAAGCTTTTGTAATCTCATCAAACCGACCCCATGTATACCATTATCGACTTAACTACAGTTCTCAGATGCCAGTTCTATTTTCAAAAGCTGACACCCATGATATCATGAAAGGCCGTTATCATGTGTACATCCATCCGTCTGGTGAGATGTCTGTTTGTAAATTGGCTGAGATCATGCCAAAATATATTTTTTCACAAGATTGTGAATATTCCAATTTTTTGAACGACACATTTCTGGAATGGAGTCTCTGCTCTTGGCTCATACAATCTTCAATTATTAAAGAATTCAACGTATGATTCGAATTAGGGCTTTAAGAAAAGGAGGTTGAGATTTCCTGAACATGGAATGGTACCAGTTCTTACTTATAATCAAGTAAATAAATGGAGAAAATGAAAGTCAATACTATGGATGAGTGAATATTGGAGGTAGGCAAATGTATTAGACGATTAAGAGAATAAACGTGTAATGTGTGGATTATTATTATTCACTACTGTCCTTTCCCAGTATTTTTATGTGAGGGTAAATGATTATTAGGCGAATCGTTTGAGAGAAGTATCAAGTTTCGCTACAAATGCACGAAATTTTTTTGTGTAAATGTAATATGACAAGAAATATTACGCCCACACCACATATGGTGGTAAATAAGTACTTGAGGGATAATGCTTAAATGCCAATGGTAGATTCTCGGTCAATTTATCAGCAACTTATGCGGTTGCTGTTTAACAAATGCTAACGGGTGTTTATTTCTTGTTGTCGATCTTTTGGAGGATTTATAGGTTTTGACTTCGTTTAATGACTCGAACTTCATAGGTTGTGCTTACAGTGTGACTTTTTTGTGTCTTGTTTAAAGTTCTTCAGGCGTCGTGCCCATCTGTGAGGTTATATCGAGATCCTGCTGCTGATATCGACATCTGTATTATTTATTACACAGATAAAGATTGAACGGTTGAACTGATTTGCTGCAACCACACACGAGATCTTTTTGAAGCTGCAGCAGTGCAGTGGACTTTGTTTCTAGGTCCCGAATGAAGATTGTTCCTAGGGCTTGTTATCCACGAAGATATGGAATCGTTCTTTTGATGGTATACCGGAGACTGTTGCCATGTCCATTTCGTACTAGCTCAACCACTACAGAATTGTCCTTTATATCCACACGTTTGGAATATTTATTTAATTTACTTAACTCCTGGAGCTCTCCTGGGGCCACTGTAGGTCCGAAACTTGGGTAAATGAAGGAGGCTTGGTGTGAGGTCATTAACCACATAGTAACACTAATCGCAACCGGATTGTCAAGAACCTGAGCTGTGATGACACGGAGTAAAAATAATGCAGGACTAGAGATAGTACCTTGAAGCATGCCACATTTACCGACTTCCATACAGAGAGTGTCCCATTTGCCCTCACTGTCTTCAACCACAGGAGGTTTTTGCCAAGTCTTGTATTGTGCCTGTTGTTTCAAAGTTGGAAAGCTTTTTCATTAGCCCAAAGGAGTCATCTTTTCAAACACTTTGATGAAATCTACGAATATCACGCCCGTTTACAAACTGCTATCTTAGGCCACTGTAAATTCTCCCTTGAGGTTAGTGTACCGACCAAGAACTCTGGTTACAGGACCTGTTACTCCGAAGCGAACAGATTATAGGATTCTATACAGCTAAATAATGTAGCACGAATTGCTTTGACAATACTTAAACTACGATGCTAGTAAAACTGACAAGTGTGTGTTAAGATGTTTTATATCTTTTTTATCCTGAAAGCTAATCATCTGTGAGACCATAACAAGATGGTTTACAAGTTTACGTTCGGAAAATTCAGAGTGCCACTCTATCTTCCCCACAGAGTTTCCTTCGAACGAGTGATATCAACTCCACAGATGAACACGGAATCTTTATCGACATTATGTCCCGAGCTACCAGTTTCGGGGAAGATTTAACCCATTTTGAGGGAGTCACTATGGTAAACTTTGGGGAAATCTTTCAAAATTCTCCTTTAACTTTGTTGAAAGTCATTTGACTTTGGGGATTTCCCTAAACTTGGGAGATCGGGATCAGTTCATGATGAAATTCCGATTTATATATGCTGATCTACATGACTCTGAGTTAGTCTTCTCTATTTTAAATGGTTCAGCAGTATGCTTTCTGTTAACTCAACTGACCAACTAACCCCATTACTGAGATTAAATATTGAAAATCTCTCGGGCGCGTAACTCGTTGGTCGTTACTTATGGTCTGTTGGTATGGTTGGTCGTGAAGTTTTCTACCCTCTTCCACACTGTATGTATTCATAAGCTATATCAAGAGATAAACATAACAATCTTTTATTAGTGAACCGCCGTTATAAATATTTTTTGTGTATTTAGCCTTTGAAGACCATTTCAACAACAAATGTTATTGGTGAATCGTTCAGGGTTGACAAATTCACCTTAGGCCCGTTTTTAGGAGGAGTTTCTTCTGTCTCATGGAGGGAGTCTTATTGGTACTCTTGATGAAATGAAAGGTGGTGGATACTTTTTGAATTTTACTCATATTTGAAAGCATATTCACATGTTTTTCTTCGTAGTCTAGGCCGCTGTACTTAAAACAGTCACTTAATAATGTTGCCTGTAATTTAAGAAAACGGTATACACTCTGCCGTATCACGACGGCCTGATAACTTATTTTTGTGCACGCAACACAACATTGGTGTCACTCAGTCATCATTAACCTAGAGGTCATCATTAAAAGTCCTGTCTGTAATCTTAAGTACGGCACCACATGGGAAAAAATCAGTTGGAAGCAACTTTTAGAATAAAACAGTAGGAAACTTGCCCACATTGACGGGAATCTAAGACATATAAAAAAGAAATATAACATAATTAATTAGGCTCAAGTGTTGACAATTATGAGTGTAGAAAATTTTGTCTTCGACGTCGCTTTTGGTGTCCGATCTGTATGGCCTTTGAAATCTACCATCGCGTAGATTCAGCCTGGTAGGGTATCTCAGCACACTGTCAACAGTCATCCAGTCAATGTAATGTATACCCAAGTTTGTTTAATATTAAATTATCACTGTATCCTCGCAATTTTTATGTTGCCAAGTCTCGAGTCAGTCTGTACAGGTGTACTGATGTTAAATCATTCTACTCCGACTATTAGATTTTTGAATGAGACAAAATTGCGATTATTTCGCTTTTGAACAGTTCACTAGGAAATTTTCGATCCGTTTATGTAAAAATATTCACATTTCCAGTATATGCCCCATTCCTTCGTGAATCTGGTTACCAGCAGTGGAGCTTCGTAAGGAGTAGGTATATGCTTTCAAGTCCTAATGCTAATTCTTCCCCATGATAATTTAGACCAAGGTCTTGTCCACTGGCAGATAGTTTTCACTATTTACATCCAAATATAATCTGAACAGTGATTTCATTAGAAGCATTGCATGCCATTGATTTCAAGACTTTACCTAGGGACGTCAATCGGTTGTTGTAACGCATGATATTTGCTGGATTGTGATTAAATATATTTCAATCTGTTACTGGCCCTACCATTTTATCTAACAAAGGTTTTTGTGGTAACAATAGTTTCTGAAATAAGAAAACAATCCCCTCCGGCTGTCTATTTAATTGTTCCTTAGCTTGAACGCTGGCGAGCGGCCTATGCTCCTTCACGAGGAGTAATAGGCGTAAGTTGAAGGCTTCTGATTTTGTGGTTATATCCATATATTTCGTATGGTTCATTAGCCCGTTTCCAAGTCACTGCAAAATTTTTAAGATTATTTTATGTGGAAATTTTGGAATCTGTATGACTTATCTGCTTGTGGAAAACGTTCATACGTACGTTGTTCTCTTCGTGTAGGTCAAACACTGATTGAAGGACTATTCTGAGAACTTCCGAGTAACCAGTCCTTAAGTCGGTTCTCTAACAAACTTTGTATTTTATTCATGGCTGCCCTTTATTGGAACATATTTTCAAGGTTGGTTCACTGATGTTTGTCGCTTAGTAAATATTAGGTTTCGTGTTAATTTTAATCATTTCAAGTACTTGACTGCAACACCGTCCAGATCAGCGAATACAAAGTTAGCCGTTTATCTTAAAGTTTCGTATTTTAAGACAATTAAAACACCCCAAAAGGAAGGGCGATAATCTGGAACCTGTTGCTACATCAGGTGGTGTGTCTGAGTAAGTTGTTTTTTTTAATGATTTACTCTATAGCTATGCAAAATCTGCAAACATCGTAAAGTCAAAGTATGTCAGAGCTGTTTTGTTATATCAGTAACTTTTGACGGACAATTTTAGGGATCTGCTTGGCGATTTTATTAAAGAATATCGTTTTGGTAAGCCTGTTTTCCATTTTAATTGCGACTTCATGCAAGGTAATGACACAGCATTTGTTGATCTTCCTTCACCGGCTAATGTAAATATTTTCACTCATCAAGATGGTAGGTGATCTTCAGATCTATTTAATGTTTAGTCCTACCTGCTGATTCTTGTAACTCATTGAACCCCATTTTTGATGCCGTTGAGAATTTGGAAGCCTCACTTTTCAGTTGTGCTCTTCCAAACAACCAGTTCGAAGAATGGTTAAAGTGGACGGTCGAAAAGAAAATGTGGAGTTTTCCGATTAATAATGAACAAGGTATATGCATTTGTTTCGTGTGAATTAAAATAACCGTTTATGATGAGTCCATTCCTTTAAGGTATCCTAACTTCTTGGCATGTGGTATGGTTACGGTCAAGAAATATTGACCGTTTGACACATAAATCCTAATTCACTTTTCGACTCTAGTAACCTGTGTGCGAATGCCCAGCGTGTTTCATTAATGTCGCTTAGCATCCTGTAAATAAGGTCGTGTAAAAAAATAGATCGTAGAGTGATGACTGCATATATATAACTGTAACTTGAGTAGTATTGTACTAGTTTCGCATACTTAATTTGTCTTTAATGAAAGTTTCCAGAGTTCAAGCCTGCAGAGTAAAGCTCTAGAAACTTCTATTAAAGACATGTTATGCTTGTGAACTTGAACTGATATACGTACATACGAAGTTCCACGTTGTTACTTACTGACCGAAGCCTGCAAAATCTGGATGTTTTCAATGAACTCAAAATCTGTTTTGGAGAACTGTTTCTTCAGTTAGAAGTCAGTAAGTGGAAGTTTCCATGAATCATCTGATTTAATGCTGTTTCATACCTTTTCACTGTACTGTTCTTCAGTAAATTATTTAAGCTGTTGTTTGACAACACCCTAAGAACCGGTATCTCTAAGCTAGGCATTTAATATTCTAGAAAATCAACACTGGCTAGCTCTTCATAAAGATAGTTCGTTCTGGAAAAACAAGCTTGTTATTAAAATGGCCGTCGTAAATATATATAAGAGCAGTGAAATAACTTATTACAACCTAAACATTGTCGAATATTTCCTAGTATCACATTTTCTTTGTAAGTTTCAAAATATTCACGTGATTTGTCCATCAGGGTTGATGTGAAACTTTTAATCAAAATTAATGGGATTCTGCCGACTACCAACCCTAGTTATATTTTTTAACTTTAAGACGGTATTCAGCTCCCTAAATGCACAGGTTTTATAGCACTCTGTAGTTGAAAATGATACCAAAGAAGTTCATAGACTCTGTCCAGGCTTCGTCTTCAAACAATAGTGGTCAGATCAGAGTTTATTGTGGGCTGTCATCAAAATTGAGAACACCAACAACTCAACCTACTAAAAATCTTTGCCTTGTTTGTATACTTTACAGATTGGGATTCCGAGTTAGATGTACCCTTTTATGAACATGTATTTCTGGAGAATCATCTAAACAAGGAACATCTCAAGTGTAAACCATTGGCATCGTTCTTGGAACTTGTCTGCACTGGTCTTTCGAAAAACCCATATTTTAGTGTTGACGATAAAAAGCAACATCTCGAGTGGTTCACACAGTTCTTTGACGATAAGATAACGCGGATAAACGCTTCCATAAAAGAAGAACATATGGCTAATTTAGAGGAAATTTCTAAAGGAACTTCGACATAATCTACTAATTTTTACTTTTCAAATAAACCATTCCCTAGAAAAATTCTTAGAATTTTTTGTTTTACAATAATGATTTGTTAATTACTTTATAAGTACTATGAACGTCAGTGTATATAGTCAGACTTTTAATTGGTAGAATATATGTGTCGTAGTCGTTATTAAACATGGATATTCCCAGTTTTCTTGTCGAAATACTAGTTAAGGAATTCTTTCCTAAAATGACGGTCCAAAATCAAACTCTCGTTTAGGTGTATCAAATGAAGCTATATTTATTCTAGAATAACCTGTTACCGTGACTTCACATTAATGTATCCATTTCCTACTGGGTAGCTAGTATAGTAATGTTATTGAATAGAACTGATTAATTTGTAATTAATTGCACTGGCTGAGAAATCAGTTTTTGAATTAAAAGAAAAAACGATCATCATACAAAGCTTGGAGATTTTAGATGACACACGAAAATCGGTTGCGATAAAATTAACTGTGTATGAATGTAATTATTCTTTTCTTCTGACTCCACGTATGATTGATCTGGAGTGACTTCACATATATTTTTCAGCGAACACCATTTGATTTTACTAATCTGCCCAAAAGTTTGATTAAGTTCACTTAGGTGTTGCAAAGAGCTACTGCATAATTCACTTAAACGTTATATTTTCTTGTTGGTTGCTCATAAGTTAACAAATCCCATATGAGTACAAAAATTTAAATTCAAACAGCATAAGGGGTCCTTTGTACGTCACCTTGGTTTACCACGGAGTGAAACATTAATTAGAGGTTTGCCATACGAAGCAGGTTATTACAAATGTTTTTCTGATGACTACAACTCACTAGTCGGATAAGATAGATACCAGTGCTCTAGTAATATTTAGTAGACATATATGTGAGTCATGCAGACTAGTATTACGCAACGAAGGTCTCTAAGTAGGCCACGTAAGTCAACTTAGTATCTAATATGAGAAACAAGCCAGGATACTTTAAGGAAGATGGGTTAAGAAAAAGCAGTTATGAGAATTAGGGTTTTTTAATGTGGCTTGAAGTTGTTTTCACGAAATGCAACCGCCAGTTGAGTTCTTGTCACTCGCTTGACAACTCAATATTGGAATGTTTCTGAAGAGGTTTATCAGTTTCTGCGTGTGCTGGCGTTGAGTGGAACTCCGGATTTAATCGGTTTTACCACCTTAAAGCACCGACTTTCTGAATGAGAAATGTCTTCATCTGGAGCATATGATATTCAACAACAAAGCAGACCAGTTGTATTTATTAGTGCGAAAAAACAAAGAGAAACCAAAGCTTCTGATTGATGTACAAAAACTGATAGAAGCCACGGAAACAACTGTTGATCCTCGGATTTACTGCTAAGGTGTTGAAAACCTACCTACTTACGCCTGTTGCTCCTAATGAAGCTTAGGCCGCAGACCAGCATTCTCCTACCCACTCTGTCCTGGGCCTTCTTTTCTAGTTCCATCCAATTCTTTTTCATTTTTCTCATGTCTATTTCAATTTCCCGGCGTAATTTGTTCTTTGGTCTTCTCCTTTTCCTTTGGCCTTCAGGATTCCATGTGAGGGCTTGTATTGTGACGCAGTTGGGTGCTTTCCTCAATGTGTGTCCTATCCACTTCCAGCGCTTCTTCCTCCGCTGGGATCTGGTTTGTTCTCTACCATAGTAGGTTGTTACTAATAGTGTCCGGCCGACGGATCCGAAGTATTTTGCGTAGACAACTGTTAATAAACACCTGTATTTTCTGGATGGCTTTCGTTGTTCTCCAGGTTTCTGCCCCATACAGTAGAATCGTCTTGACATTTGTATTGAAAATCCTGACCTTGGTGTTGGTTGACAGTTGCTTTTGGTTCCAGATGTTCCTCAATTGTAAATATACTGCTCTTGCTTTGCCGATCCGCGCCTTCACATCTGCATCAGATCCACCCTGTTCATCAATGATGCTGCCCAAATACGTAAAGGTTTTTACATCTTCCAAATCTTCTCCGTCAATTGTGATTGGATTGGTGCATGCTGTGTTGTATCGGAGAATCTTGCTTTTCCCTTTGTGTATATTGAGACCTACTGCTGCTACACAGGTCGTCTTTCCCTGCATTTGTTGTTGCGTTTGGGATAGAAGGGCCAGATCATCTGCGAAGTCTAGATCGTCCAACTGCATCCTAGATGTCCATTGTATCCCGTGCTTCCCTTCAGACGTTGACGTCTTCATGATCCAGTCGATCACCAGGAGAAAGGGTGAGAGTAAGCAACCTTGCCCGACACCGGTCTTTACCTCGAACGAGTTTGTCAACTGTCCTCCATGCACAATTTTGCAGTGTAATCCATCATATGAGTTCTGTATGATATTGACTATCTTCTGAGGCACGCCGTAGTGTCGAAGAAGTTTCCATAGTGTTGTTCTGTCCACGCTATCAAATGCCTTTTCGTAGTCAATGAAGTTGATGTAGAGTGATGAATTCCATTCAATTGATTGTTCCACAATGATCCGTAGAGTTGCGATTTGGTCTGTACACGATCTATCCTTACGGAATCCTGCCTGTTGGTCACGAAGTTGGGCGTCTACGCAGTCCTTCATCCTGTTTAACAATACCCTGTTGAAGACTTTTCCCGGTATTGAGAGAAGAGTGATGCCCCTGTAGTTATCACACTTGCTGAGATCGCCTTTCTTCGGTATTTTGATCAGGAGTCCTTCTTTCCAGTCTTTTGGTACTTGTTCCTCATCCCAAATCTTATTGAAGAGAATGTGGAGTATCCTTGCAGTTGCCGCTACGTCTGCTTTCAGTGCCTCTGCTGGAATGTTGTCTGGTCCTGCTGCTTTGCCACTCTTGATTTGTCTGATTTCTTCAATTGTTGGTGGGCCAACATTGATTGGGAGGTCCGTGGGTGCTGCTTCGATGTTGGGTGGGTTCAGTGGAGCTGGTCGATTCAAGAGTTCTTTGAAGTGTTCTACCCACCTGTTTTGTTGCTCTTCAATGTTGGTGATTACCTCGCCTTCCTTGCTTTTCACTGGTCGTTCTGGTTTGCGGCGATTTCCAGAGAGTTTCTTTGTCGTGTCATACAGTTGTCTCATGTTTCCTTCTCTTGCAGCCTTTTCCGCCGTCATTATATGTGTATAAACGAGATAAACATGTCTATGGATTCACTCAAAAAGGATGTAGTACCTTATGATAAAGCATAGGAAAATTAGCAAATAGTTTGACTGTAGGAAGCCAACTGTAAGCCATATATTATCCAATGTCACAAGTTGTTCATGTTCGTTTCTGACGATAACTGAGGATACAATCGAACCACTTTGGCGTATAAAGATGACAAATTTAGACTGAATAATTCTATCCTAATAATGGAAACACTTCTTACTAAAGAAATTGATTAACAGAAAACTAGCGTTTATAAAAATTCAGCTCTGAAGTGAAATATGTAGACATATTGAAACCAAGGCAATTAGTAATAATAATGACAATTTGTTTATTGACACCTTCACAGTGATAATATAGTTTGAACAGTCTTAGTAGGTTAACTCACACGAAACTTAATTAGATTTGTCTGAGTGTTACTTCATTAAATGGTTTAGTCGGGGTCAGAGTATTTAAGGAAGACATTTGGCACTGAATAACCTTATATTTCATCGCAAACCTTATCTCGAATGACTTAAAAAATAATTCACAATAGTATCTACAATTATATATTTAGAAAAATTATTAGTCCTCTTCCATGGCTTCGTTAACAAGTGATTCGCCTTTATTTTCATATGGTTGCGGAATAAAGTAATACAAACCATCATCTAACTGTTTACAAACAACAAGAACTTCAGGATGGAGCGAAGTGCGCATCATACAACTATCTTTTTCTGTTAACTCTTCGACCCCCTCACCGTCTGTCCAAACTGCAAGCAGGCCAACGCGAAATTCGGAGATTTCAATTTGAAATAACTTCTGAAATACAAAATAATTCGAAAACAATAACTTATAAACGAATACAAAAAAATTACAAACTACTACTTCAACAGTAGGGTGGTGTATATTTTGTACACATCTCTTAACACTGGTGATTATAAAAATGACAATTTCATCAGAAGACGAAACAACATGTAATAATTTGTACAATTTAAATGGATATACATACATAAACCTACAAGAATCAATAAAAACAGTTGAACAAGTCTGACAAAAACTACAACCATCTCCAGCTACTACAGATGCTGAGAAAAGTCGTCATTATGTGAAACATTATCATGAAATTAAAATGGTTATTTTGGGCTAAGATTCATTTCGAAAAGTTGAAGGAATTATGCAGCAGTTCGAAATCAGAGTCAATGGAGGTGCTGAAACAGTTTCCTTTTTAGTTACCAAAACAATAAAACATTGTATTGAAAATTGAACCTACCTAAGTCGCAATTACTAATATACATAATGTCGTTATCGTATGGTCATCACTTTATTTTCTGAAAGATGTCGATCCGTTTCAAGAAACATACTAGATTCACTAAAATACATTCGAATAAATCAATGTATTCATAGATTCAATTATTCTTCATAATAGATACCGAGTTTGTTTCGACAGGTGGTTGAGTAGTTTTCAGATCAACATGCGGGAAAATTAAGTCCTGTATGGTGTGTAGTAGTATGTATGTATGTATGTATCACCAATCGAAAGTGGAGTGCCTAACGGCAGAAGATTGAGAAAATCGAAGAGGACGAGAACAGAGAATGATCGTTATGGAAGCGAAAGAACAAAAAAGTCTGAGACAATTGATGGATATTTTGCAAATGAAGTATTTACTGTATGGTTCCCAGATTTTATCAAGATATTCTGTAATGTTGTATTAAAATACATTCGGTTGACCTCAATTGTGTTCTCGTTCACTACATTACTACAACGCCATTAAGCCGATGTCCAGAAAGATGTTAAGGTATGCAGTCTTTTGAAAATCATATCTCTAGGCGAAAAAATGTTTCAGGAATAGACAACGAAAAAGTGAGATCGTTTTAGAATCGAAAGTGAAAACTGGGTGTCTTTATCTTTTATAACTAAATTTGATTTGATTAGACGAGACTCAAGTAGCTGAGTATGCACCATTTTGCCACCTTGAATTTAAGCACAGTAATCGTAAATCTCAGTAATGTTCTAGAAAGATTTGTTACTGACCATTTACTTGGGAAGACTAGTTTTAAGGAAATACTTCAAATTTCATTAACTGCACAATATACTACCAAAATCATATTCAATTCGATCTTATTATCAATAAATTAATTGAAGTGACCATAAACCAGCAAAAACTAATGTTACAAACGTCATATTTTAGCGGAGACCAAGTAAATTAGCTTATAAATGACTGTCACCAATAAAACAAATCAGCATAGACAATAACATACAAAGTAGCTTCCTAGTAATTCGGCAGACAAATCCATACAGTTGTCAATACGATCCTAATGCTTCAAGCACGCTTTTCTTCGTGGTTCTCTTACCTTTGTCACGGCACCACCAGCAGTTACACAGCTACCCATTCGCATGAACTCTTTAACTACTTCTAACTGGTAACTACGAAGAGTAAGATCAGGAACAGGTTTCTGTTAGTCTTATAAAATGACTTCGCATTTAGAAGGTAGAAAGTACACTCCATATCTGCGAACACTGATTGTCGACTGACTAAGTGGAAATTACATTGTTTGAGTAAAATCACACAGTAAGACAATATCATCCTTATACTCAAGGTCGAGAAATCTTTCTCCAGGTAACAGATCTACACCACCATTACCTACATCCACCAGAGCTGTTTCTAGAACGTCATAGTTATCAAAGCTGGAGAGGAATGGTGAGGTTGAGGAACCCTGCCTAACCCCACTGCTTGAATGGAACAATTCAGTCAATTCCTTAGTTAAAAAGTCGCCAAAATATCTTTAAGAAGCGCAGGAATTCATCTGAGTCTGATGATTAGTGGTTTTTCGGGAGTTGGAGCTTCTTGCAGACTTCTGCCTCGTCAGGTGGACCAGTCTTCATTGGCCATTTAGTGAAGGACAGTCTAAGCGATGTCATGGGGACATCAGACCAGTTAAATTTCTTCACGAAAAACTCTGTCCATCGTCCGATACGTCGATAGATGTCAATGATTGATATCCCATCATCCTCAGATTGTTTGACTGACTCGGATAAGTTGAAAGAGCTCCTGACAGTTACCAGATGCAGCTGCTGCTTCCAACTCATTGACACGCTTCGACCACCAGGTTTCTCGGTCCTCGCCCAGGCTTTGATCAATTTTGTTATGTAACAGTCTATGTTTGTGGTCGAACTCGCGATCATCCGGAGTAGACCAATGGGCTTCAAGGAGTTGTAAGGAGCCAGAAGAAACGCAGTGCTCATAAGTGATACGTTTCGCGAAGCTGCAAGCGACTTTACTCGCCATTTTCATGGTGTCATGCAACTGCTGCCAATGCTCATCGGTATGTTTTGATGGGCTGACAAGTAGCCTTGAACCTAGCTCGGTTTGATATTTAGTTGAAGTAGAAGCTGCAACTAATTTGCTGACATCGACCCTTTCGGGAAGATTAATTTTTTGGCTACTGGAACTTAAAGTTCGCGCAAACACAACAATGATCAGACTCCAGATAGGTGCTTCAAAAGGAACGGCAGTCTTGTATACAACCATGTCAGCGGTAGCTGATTGCTGTGTAATCACTAAGTTCAGGTAGGTTTGAGATGCAAAAGGAGGACGCCAGGTAGCACATCGGCGATGACTGTAACAGTAGATAGTGTTAGCTAAAGTTAGGTTGTACTCTGCGCAAAGTCGCAGCAGACGGTCGCCGTCATCTAACCTGCGACCAACAAGTCCCCATTGGTTACCCAAACGACTCTCCTCTATGCCTAGACGCCAGACATGCGGATTCAAGTCTTAGACTAGTACTACAATACCTATTGGACACACATTTTAGAACAGGTAACTGGTAATAAAACGCATCCGGGTCTTAGCATAGGCGGAGATAACAAAAAGACACCGTATCTCACACCGATTTCTTCGCACTTTGATGGGGATTTTTAACTTAATAATATATAACCGACTGTTAATAGGCATCCAATCGATAAGTACTGCCTCAACTTTAACGCTGAGTGCGACATAAACGTCAACACACCAGAGGAATATGCCACAAGGTGCTCGGATAAACGCACGTGAAACCATCTTTTTGAAGAGACAGATGGAGAGCGAATTTGTAGTACTTCACTAGAGTCTTGAGTATGAATCTCGGATAGACAACAGATACCGATGTTGAGACTTTCTAAAAACAGCCAACCTTATATGTCATCCGATCTGCATTAGTATGCGAACGCTGAAGGAGACCAGTTAGAATGACATACGTGGTTTTTGAAACACTGGTTCAGTGCTTGTAGTCGGTGACAGCATTCAGCATCCAAACAGTTAGTGACTTGAGATCGTTCTTTAACTCCTCTAAGTGGATCCTCTGTACCCAAAAACTCGGTTAAAGTGCCGAAACATTAGCTTTCCGTCCTCCCAATATCGTTATACACTGAAGGTGCGAGAAGGCAGTGAGTAGGATTTCCCTCGTAGTGGCTGTATACATGAGACCGTGGAAGTGCATTTCAAGTTTGTTGACTATTTTACTGCATGAAATCCTGTACAACTGAAACTACAAGTTTAACCTCAAACTAAATGGTAACGATGTAAAGCATTTGAAATATTTTAAAAACTAGTATTAGGTGACCATACTTAATACAAAAGCTAAAAAATGTGAACGACAAAGAACCTGTTGAAGAAAGTAAGTTTTATTGTAATTTACATACATCGAACATATTAAAAGTACTACTTAGTTTGAAAAGAAAAATATAGGTCTATGGTGCAAAATCAAATTGACTTAGTACTACGCTAAATGTACTTATTGAGTATTACTGACAACCAAAATGATTAGTATAGATCATTGTAAAGAGTTTATGGAGTGAAACCTATGGGTGAATGTATTTGTAAGTCTGACAAAATAACCGAAAGTTGTCGAACAAGAATATTAGTGTGCGATATGTGACGAATTTATTTTGTTATTTGAAAAAGTTCCGAATGAATATTATGGAGCTGTATAAACACAACCTTTACTTACTAGAATACGACACTGTTCAGGTGAAAGTACATCCCCTCTGCGGCACACAAGATACTCTCTCTCCAAATGAACAACACCTTTGACTAGTTTAACAGGCATTCCTAACTGGCGCAAAACAGGCTCCATAGAGTGAGGAAATTTGGGCAACGGACCAGATGCAATCCAGACCTGAAAATAGACAGAATGTACACGAAGAAAATCTTGAGCAATCAGATGTACTAAATTGCATTCATAGTTTAGGGATCAACAACGAATATCCAAATACACTACACTTCGTCAAATGTTGAGTATAAATTGCTTGTGATTATTTCATAACGGAGAATAACCCACCAATACTATTGTGGTGTGTGCTACTTATATTAACATAAGTAGTATATGATGTTAGTCGTGAACAGAATGTGTGGCAGCAGACACGAGGACCGAACAGTAAAGAATAGAAACAGAATGCAATTTGTAAGAAAATGCAGGAACAATGAAGTCTGAGTCAGTTTGAAACAACTGATGGACATTTTGCAAATTAAGTATTTACTACATGATTGTTAGTTATTAGCAAGTCCTGTAATTTTGTGTCAAATACATTAGATTGTCCCAACTTGTGTTCTGTTCACTACACTATCACGTAAACTTACAAACAGCTTATTTTAGCTAGGGATGAACATTGATTCTGAAATCATAGTAAGTAATCTCTGGTATTTTCGATAGAAAATAAATCGGTAACCGAAAAGAACAAAAATAGGGCAAAACTGTCTGAAGCACAACACATAAGATTTTATTCTGAATACGCTTAGAATTATTGTTTTGGGAGTGATTTCGGAGAAATCATTCAGGTTTTTCTCCGTCGAGTTTAGATTTACGTAGGCAAAATATAACTGAACCAACATGAGATCATAATCTAAACCAATCGTTCCCCAAAAACAGCTATCTTTATCTAATTCTTGGAAGTCACTAACAAAGTTATCTACCGTTATAAACAGTTATAGTGGTCCTCGGAATACCTTGGCCTTCGAATTTTACAGTAGTATGAACTAGAACACAGTAAGTTAGCTTTCAAACAAGCGGTCATTATAAAATATCCCCACCGTCTCTTTGATTTCAGCAATCACCTATCAAAGTAATCTAGTACAAACACGCTCATGAATTTTACTTCCATAAAATAAACGAACCAATGCAATCACTTCATTGCAGTTAACGGAGACAGAAAGATAACAATGAAAGAAGACAAATGCAACATCATTTACAAAATAAGTCCTATCAACTAAGATAAAGATCATATAGGACAATATGGGTGTCTCCTTTACCTGCCCATATATAAGCACAGATTAGTAGTGGGGCGAAATATTATATGATCGCTTACAACAATACATGTGAGTAACAATAGACGTATATCCATTTGGGAAACTTCAAGAATCCCAGGGAATTTTTAGGAGCATGGAGTTAAACCCAATTAGTAATCAAAAGAAACACCAACGTACGACAAACCAACCCATATGGACATGATCAGTCAATCATAAGGTCAGAATTCGACCAAAAAGACAGTCAACAGGCGCGCAAGAACAAATGGAGGCAACAAACCTACGACAACTATTCACAAATAAAGCTGAACTGATATAACACATGGTATATGGGAGTAGAAGACATGTGAAAGCTGAATGTTCCTGATCATATTTGTCTTTGAAATATTGTTCGGGTTTCGTGGAACGACCGAGTGAGAAATAATGAGGTCAAGGATATCGTACTTGGCAAAGATTGGGAATTGGTTCAACTTGTAAATGTTCATCGGCTGAAATGGTTGAAGCATGAATTACGTAGGCCTGGCTACAGTCTACCTGGATAAGTGATGGTTACTAGTTCAGAAGTAGGTTGGAAGAAAGCTAGGAGGGAACAAATCAAAACGCTGCATCGATCTATTAAGTTATTAACTGTCGGTTTGAGCCGTATTGACCAATCTAGGCTACCTAGTTGGGGTCTGAGCGATAAAGGCCACCAATATTGGTTGGAGACGTTAGGTGATACAACTCAGAATCGTTCACATTGGCGCAGATGAGTTCATTATTTATCTTCTTCTCGATCTGTTTCTTGCATACATACGTTTTCATAGTCTTTTCGGACTAAATTTCAAAGGTTTAGTCTTTTTCTCTTAATTGATAACACATTACTTTGATTTCTTGTGTTACTCTCATCTTGTCGTGCTAACCCGGAGTGAGGATTTGGGCCGTTACATATTTGTGCTAGACTCCATGTTGGTATTTGTCTGTTTGATATAATACTTGTGAAACAACTCAGTTAGTTACAACGTAGGATCAGGCATATATATGCACTGGTCCGAGTTGTCATACCTCATTAGCATAAGATGAACACCGAATACATAGTAGTTAATTCAATGGTGATAATATATAAAAGGAAGATTGCATATAAATATATGATACAGGAAGAAAGAATTAGTTAGTAGAAAGAATAACTCAAAGGCCCATTCCAATCCTTAACTAGGGCTTGTGAACAACAAACCTGAGAAAACCAGACTAGTTTTAGATCTGGATATGGGAATGGCGATCAAATACCTACCCATCGTCGGGTCATAGAATCGAGGTGTGCATACCTATATCTGACTATAGTCGTATTTCTTGACGTTAAGGGAGTATTCGACGTTTTTGGTCATGTTTTACAAGTGTTTGTCACTGAAAGGCGTACCAAAGAAATGAACCAACCTTGTACAGACTCTCTGCAACTGATAAAACTAGAGCTTATGGAGAACCACAATCACAATTGCCGGCTTTAAGGTGTCGATTAGGGTTTCGCAATTTCTCAATTTTTATTTAACTTCAGAACTTTTTAGAGACAATGCATTCGACCTCTGCCTGGTCTAGGATTTATCTTCTACCAAAGGATTCACTGATTATTCAGATGACATAGTAATCTGTCGACGACGCTAACAAAATACAATCTCCTAACGACCTTAATCAACAATCCAGGCATATTTAGAATGGGATTTCCTCCCTTAAAGTGCGAAATTTTGCTTTAGGACTGGCCTACACCAATGAGTGAATTAATGATAGGGAATGAAGCAGTTGAGTGTGCTGACTGTTTCACACATCTTGGGAGTCTTCATTAGCCCTGACGTAATTTCAACACGGATTCAGCAGGTACGGTCGGCGTTTGCCGACTTATTTCATCTGTATAGTAAACACGATTTCTATCTTCCAACAAGAGGATGACTATACTATACTATACTCATTTTATGACTATGATAAGGCCATTAGTAATAAAGTGTTCGTAAACCACTAGTTTTTGATCATAGCTTTTTACAAAGAATTATGCATTGTTAGCGCCGAGCGAGAAATGAGATTACACGCGCAGTACGGGGTAAAGACGGTAGATTGGTTGGTGAAATAGTGAAGTGGTTGGGACATGTTCTACTTACGTATAATTACCACCTGACACACAATATTTACTGGTGTATGAGATTGGAAAGAAACTAAGGTCAGACAAACCAAAACAAGACACCAGTCTACGGAGTCACTGGCAAGTGGACTGAACCATATTAATAAGCACAAATCACTTATCTGGGGTCCGCGCTAATTATAGACGGGTAATATGACTCAGTCGTGGTGTTGTGAGTGCTAGTGGTGGAGTGACAGATAAAACTAACTCATGTATAACGAAAACCAAAAAGGAATATGGGGATCTGGGTCATCCATGGTGCTGTTTTAATGCTGGCTAGGCATTAAGAATTCTGGTTGGAAACACATCGGTGCGAGGAGCATTGCTCTATAGTTATGAAACTTGGCCTCCGAGTCGAAGATGATTGATGACTTTCTTTGTTTAATTACCTTTGTTACGGAGGAATTGTTGGCATACGTTGGTAGCAACATACAAGTAATCCTGAGGTTTGGCAATGAGTGCTAAGGAACGGTGAAGATAACCCAGTTGGTATCATTATCTTGAAACACTGGCTTCAGTGACTCGAACATATGTTACGAATGTCATCTCAGCGGATCCCACTTCGTGCATTATTTGTAGACGTTGGAACTGGGTGGAAAAACTGGGGTTGGTAGGTTTGATATGAGACAGGGTTGAAGATTGTAATATATGGTCTGTCACGACAAGTGTTTAAGAACCTGGATAAGGGTTACAGAATTGCACAAACATAGGCCTCTAGAATAGATGAACAGGTGAATGAAGGTACTCTTACAATAATATTACATGTTCATCTTCGTGAGAAAGTTGATCCTACTGAAATCATGGCAGACCGAAATTTAAGTGAATATGCTATTCTCACGAAACAACGAAGAGGAATATGCGAGATATTTCACTTATATGTAATCAACTATTAAATAAATACGAAAAAGATGAGTGCGACTGACCTACACAAGTTATAAAATAAGTTTCTTGCCATCTTAATCCAAGAAAATAGTATTTCGGACCGAAAACTAACTTCTTTAGATCATGTAAGTTATCGTTTTTGAGAAATTACCTTTTTGAACTTCTAACTACCATTACTCTGTTATTCTTAAATAAGATTTGGTAGTGTTCCGACAGGTATGGAGCCCGAAGGGGCTGACAGTAGTTTTTTTCGTCACATGAGTTTACACATGACTGCCATCTTTGATATTCATCGTCTTATGAAACTGACGATTCAGAAGACAGTTGAAAGCACGGTTTCGTGTACGATCTATTAAAAACATAAATGAGCGGTTTGAAGTCACCCTAGTAACAAGTAAGATCATAGTTATGACGGCACTCGATCGCTTAAATCAAATTATTTCAGCCCAGAAAGTAACCACTTTGTTTTTTTAACCGAGTTATGAAGTTTGTTAGGATCCGAAAGTTTAGCAAATGTATTAGTTAGACCACCTGGAACAGATCACCTTTAAGGGTCTGCCAGTCAACCAAATACCACCGATGATTTATATACGGGATAGTCTGCTCGAAATAACACCGCTTACTGTGGGGCACTTAGATAACAATCACTCGTTCAAAGTGACATTCTTGGACGACTAGATGCAATAACTTAAGAAAACGCAAAACATAACAGTGGAACCATGGGAATCACTACCCGAATTTCTCTGTAGAAATCTTTATGAGTCAACACTTCTTAGAACAGACTACATCATTTTAAAGGACAAATGCTTCAGCGGAATAAAATGGAGATTAACATTACCGATTAAGTCTTGAACTACAACTGTGAGTTACATTTAATTAGGTTTTTTAATTGCAGGGTCACATGGTATATGGCATTACGAACTAGGTCAATGAAGAAATATTAAAACTCACAGTCTGCTCAGCATGTACACCTGGTCTACTGTATTCTGACGACCGGAACGCATCAAGCTGCTCGCGTAATTCTGAAGGCGATGATCGTGAAAATAAGAGGGCACATTGCCCCTTCAGATATTTGGATAAAAGGTGCAATTTTGGTCGATAACTATCTTCATGAGTTTTACCCAACGCCAAAGTCGTCACCTTGTTGACACCAAATAGAAGCCTAAACAGTATATCATATAAATCAGGAATAACTTGATTTTCACCATGCTTTTTCGTATTTCGGAAACTTTTTGGGTGCGAGGATTTTGCAGAGTCACTACATATACTCTTCCATATTCATCCAGATATTGACGAACCTTAAAGCTGCATAAGATTACCACCAATTTACTACCTTCGCAATGTGCTCTTTTTTCTTAGGAGCATGTTTTAGAACCTGAGTAAGTTCGACTGAAAAGGACTGGATACAGAGAACGTCCTGAGCTTACCTTTCTTGTCACGCCTTGAAACAGGCATTTTAATCGATCCGCCTTTGTCGATGCTCAGTTTTTTTTACTCAGAAGTCAGATTCAGATTTTTTATTTGTGTAGTAAGGACAGAAGGCCTACAGCCTATGATATTCTTCTTTAGTATGCTTCTGTGAATGAGGTGCAGACACCACTGCTTCAAGTAACAGGTTCCTAGAATTAACGACTCGTTATAAAAACCTGTATGCCATGAATATTTTGTTCGCTCTTGCTTTTTATATTCGCCTGCTATGTCCCCTGATATGCCCCGATCTAGTGGAAAGGAAAAGAGAGGATATATTCGTTCCAAAATCATTTCTTAGCATTGTAGTAGTAAATAAATCCCTAAAATAAATAGCTGTGTAAGTCTTCGACATTGGATGCTGACCACATAATAGTTTTAGTGGACTCACCTAGCTAAAGGCGCTCGGTCATGCATCTGCAGTAGATCACGAGTGGTAATGCCGTGCTGAACTTAACCTACAATCGTTAGCCAGTTTAGACCAGTCGATTCTCAATATATTGATAGCCTATAAAATATATCTTCGAATCTCCTCGTTTCTGACTCTTGATTTCACTATATGGGGACGATTCATAATGGAAGGTATTACTGGTTAAAGCGTTGTCACGCTCCAAATATCTGTGGCATCTTCAGTGTTCTATACATCAAAATCAGATTACCTCTTAATTTGTGATAGAACAGAGTAAATATGTCTATGTTTTCAGGTCGTTCTCTGCATCGTAAACCACAGAGTTTTAGAGTTGCATGAGTAGTTGCCCTCTGTACTTTTTCTAGGATATCCGAGTCGGATTTAAAACATGGGCTTGCAGATTGTACGCAGTTTTCAATCTTAGTTCTCACTAAGATTTTGTATACTGTAGTGAACATGGTAGTATCTAGTTTGATGTGTGTGCGTCTTACAGCCAATAGGGTTCTAAACTCCTTGGCCTCAACCTCCCGGCAGTAGCCCGTGATCCACTGATTTCACATTGTTCAGAGACTATATATTGCTCCCTTACTATAATGAGGTTTGCTCTGCAAGACAAACCTTTTCTGAAAGCATGTTGTTTGCTGGTTCACAAGTTGGTGATTCCCACGAATGTCATTATGGCCTTTTTGACTATTCCAGCGTTCTAATTATGACGATGGTGAGGCTGAAAGGTCTGTAGTTTCATGAAAGTTGTCTTGGTCCTGTTTTATGTAGTGGAGTGACGATTGCATCCTTTCAGTCCGTATGTAACACACTTTGGTCAAGTGACATTAAATATCACAGCTGGTGGGGCCGCAATAAATTGTGAAATTCGTCTCACGATTTCGGGGTGAAGTTCATCTAGTCCTGTTGACTTTTCCGCGTCTAAGGTCCTAAGAGCCTTAAGTATATCGTCTTGATCAAAGTCCACAGTGAACAGACGGTTTGTTGACTTTGTATTAGGATCTAGTTCTTCGTTTACAAGAGGCTACTGCGGCGAAAATGCCCGAAATAGTTTGCCATAGACTCTGCTTTTTTATGATCATCCTATAAAATTTCTGGTCCACTCTCTTAATTAGGTTGGGAATCCAATGCTGCATCCCTGTTCTACGACAGGCTGTCAAAAATCTACCAAACATCATGAAATCTAGGATGACTAACCCAGAATAATCAGTTGCGTGTCATGAAATGGCTTATAAAAGTGTGATCACGCTATGTTCCAACAGTTTGTTCTAACTAATTCAGTTCTCCAATAAGACCATGTTTGTTATGTGCGGTCATTTGGGTTGTCGCAGAACTGGGATACTGCGACGGTAATCCACGTTAGGCAATAATCACACAGAATGACCTCGATATAAGCTACGAGGAAAGCCATTCCCATGCAATCCGAGTAGACCTTGTGTGGTGTTTGCATGAACTAATGACTCTTTTGTACTCGATTTGTGCTTGATTTTGAATTCCAAATACATTACGATCGTTTGTGCTCACCTTGTTCTTTTTGGTCGCAATTGCACTATTTTAGGGATTCCTGGTTCTTACAATAATTCAAGTACTCCTACTTATCACACCCTAATCATCAACACAAACTACTTACATTGGTGAACCACATATAATATATCATTCGAATCATTTCAACAGTCCAGTGATGGAAAAAACATACAGAAGATTTTTAGCGCAATTTGAATGTTATGTCGTAACATTCACGGTATGTATGCATAATATTGCAGTTCTAAGCCACGTTACAATTATCTTGTCCAAAAATATCACATGTTACATTTAGTTAAGGATGTTGAGAAATGCGGGAGAGCTAAACAACTACAGTAGGAAAAAATGAAAAGAATAGAATGGTGAGCATGAAGAACTTGATCCACTTACTCAGGATAGAAATCGTTGTAACGGAATGAGACTGATGAAAATCCCTTCGCAGCATTTTTGTTGGACAGTACTGTCATTTATTTGTTTCTTCTCCCCGTCGTGTATTTTAACCTTTGTTCAGATCTCGTTTAACCACACCTTTGGTTCTTCAGTCTTCCTCGTCTGGGCTTTTATTATGTGATTTTGTTTAAAGACTTATCTTTTGTTATCTAATTTTCTGTTGCATGTTGCCGGACCATTGACAGTAAGGTCGTGTTCGACTAAGCACAAGGTCACGGCGTGATTCAGTGTGTGGCTGTTAACCTTTTGACTGTCTGCTTGGGAGGACTGCTCGAATCCTTGCAGATAGATATTTTATCCCATCTCGTTGAGAAAATTTTTACTGATTCTCAGCACGCTAATTTGCGTCAGAGAAACTTCTGACTGTATAGCAGAGACTGTACCGAATGAGGTACTTTGTATTTTTGATACAATTTGTTCTATTTCCTAAAATAGAACCGTTTAAATTGAGCACGAAGTTTGTGTTTTGTTACAATTTAGTACGAGTGTCTCAAAAACGCTACGTACGCTATACAAAAGAACGTAGTCAGACCTATTCGAATAAATTTTGGCTCGTCAGTCCTGCGTTCGAACCGAATATTGGCAGTTCGGTAGTTACAATCGTGTTTGTAAATTTTTGGCTCATCTGTTTCTTGATGTTCGATTTCAGTGCAATACCTAATATTTTTTTCTGTCAATTTAGTGAATACATTTTCAATCTAGTTGTTTAAGATTAGATGAGGACTCAATTTAACTTTTAACTATCTAGCCATTTAAGATGTGGTATATAAGCCTGTTCACAGAAGGCATGGGCAAATGATATTAGTCCCGGTTGACTATGAACACCACTACAAAGGAACGCGTGTCAGGATATCCAGAAAATCCCCCGGAAGCCAAATATCAGAAGGCAGCTAATTGACCAAATCGAGATATATTTGCTGGCGATCTCGTGATATCGAAAGAATACCGAGATCGTGCCAGGATACAAGCTTGGTTACTGAGCGTAACCGGATTCGCGCGAGGTCACAATCGAAGTACAATAGATGTTTTCTTAGCACAGTTAAACAAAGAGCATATTAAAACAGTCACTGGTACAATCGGTTATAGTAATAGTTTTCACTAAATAAATCGTGTTCTCGTGATTAAAGTTGGTCACTACAAACTAAGGTCTATTCTCAAATACGTTCTTCAGAAGTGCTAGACGTCATATTACTGATTGTCACGGAGGGACGAGTCAGTATAGGCCATGGTCTGATTTCAACGTAAGATCCTATGGTTAGATAGTCAGATCATAGCAATTTTGGGGTTGGGTCTATTATTCTAGTTGTAAAGATAAATGTCGAAATACATCATAAATTCACCTAGTAACAAAACAGTCTGTTGAAATAAGCACTATTCAAGAGCATTAGTGATTCTGAGAGAATTTCATGTGTAATAATTTAGATTACGTTTACAGGTTTCTATTTGCCTCTGATACCTTTCCATATGTGACTATTGGAGTGTGATTTTGATAGTTCTTGAAGTTGCAACTTCGAATACTAATTTCAACTCCGCGTAACTACTACATAATCTAACTTCAGACTCTAAAAACAACAAACCTATGGACAAAACTAGATTGTAGTTGATAATGATAAAGAGACGATCCCTCCTCAAGCCATGTCCTTATCACATTTAAGGTGGTAATTCAATATGGAAAACGCTTTAACAAAACTTTCTGCCACAAAAACTAAATCTTCTATGATTACATTAACCATGGCATTAACTTTTAGCAGTTTTGACGAATATAGAGACTAAATGAAGCACACAGAAATAGCTAGAGGTGGTTTTTATTATGTCAAGCACATTTATCAACTGGCTGTATACCACATTTTCCCGCCGTTATGGTTTGACAACCAATTGGATCCATACCCTAGTGGAGGGTTGTGTGTTACTTCCGTTATCACTTTAAGCCGTTTTAGATGACACTTTTCGTCCTCTCTTTTCTCGGTTTGGTTTCAGATTTAATTTCAGCTGCTATCGTTGAATCGAGCGGAAGTTGTTTCTCTTTGTTGCATTTGTGTCGCGAACGTCAATTTATGTGACCTGGGTTGAGTAAATAATTGATTTCCATCATGGAGACAAAGTGAAGAGTTCATTGTTTTGTAGTTTTCCATGTTACGGACACCATGAACATACTATCCATCATTTCAAAAGTTATTTGTTGGTTTTTCACAACATTGTATCGTATTACTGTTGCGATCACCACACATATGTTTACATGAGCTCGTTTTCGAGACAACGGTTATTGATACTTTCGTTTCAGAATAGGTTACTCTTGTCTCACTAATTTATCAGTGGCTCGTGAAAGCTGGTGTGCTCTTGAAGACCAAACGTTACCCGTAGACGTAGCCTACATTGACTTCAGCAAAGCTTTTGACAAAGTTCCGCACAACCGGCTGTTATATAAGCTAATAAATGTCGGAATTGGAGGCAATCTATTGATGTGGATAAAAGACTTCCTAGTTGGGCGCCAACAAAGAGTACGCGTGAACTCAAAGTTATCTAGCTGGGAAACTGTGCTTAGTGGAGTGCCCCAGGGTACAGTTTTGGGGTCAGTGCTATTCCTCTTGTATGTAAATGACCTTCC